ATGCAGTTCTCCTGCCTCATAGTAGACGGCACTTTTTTAGAGGCTTTTTTAAACAGGCAGTCATTCACAGTGTAGCAGCAGCTAGCTAGCCTAACCTCAGCACTTGCCTTTTCTTATTTACATTTTTTTTCATGATTAACAGTAGTGAGGCTGTGCCTCCCCTGACTGCATGTCACTGCTTCTCTGCATTCTGTGCATCCACACGTCAGACACTGGACCCAGCTGTTTCTCCTCTTCCTCATCAGCCACCTCCAAACCTGGGGGCTTTTGACTCTCCATCTGAGGGCTAAAGGACGGCCCAGGCTCCGCCTCTGTCTCTCTCTCTCTCTCCCTCTCTTTCTCTCTCTGCCAGCTCCGTTTCTTCTTCCCCCTCAGAGGTCTCAGGTTGCCCTGACTCCCACGCCTCCTCCTCCTTTGATTTGGCTGCTGGAGAGGGCCAGCAGGACAGGCCACAACAGCTGCCTTAATGGCCTTGAAATGGAGATGAGCGCCACTCTTTATAGTTGTCAAGGAGTAGCGGAGTAAAATCCGCAGGGATTCTTTTTTTGCTCAGTGACGGACTCAGCTTGGATCCTGCAACATTATCTTGGTACCCGTATATTTGCACTTCATTCATGGGAGTTGCCAACTGCTCAGCCAAAGAAAGCATCGATGCTGTAGTCAGGGAGATTGAGGGGCTGCTCAGATCCAAGGGCCAGAAGGTTAGGTGCGAAAGCAGACACATGCATGTGCAAACACGCACAACAGAGTTCCAGAAAGAAAGCCACCTGCGAGTGCTGACTTAGGAGGGGCAAGTCGCAGAACCGGCCACTGATATTCAGTTCTCAGAAATGATGAAAAGAGGTGGCAGGGCTGCGGGCTCAGTGGTAGCCTAAGACAGGGCCCCCAACCCCTGGGCCACTTGCACAAGCTCTATTTGTGGATGAGGCATGTGTGTGTGCCCACCGCTTGTGCTGCAAATGGAGCTGTGGTGCACGCGCATGCTGCTTGCACACAGCCCTCCTCTCTCCCCCAGCATCACCTCCAGCAGCCCACAAAGCTGGAAAGATTGGGGACCGCTGGCCTAAGAGATATTTGCAGTGAGATGCTACTTTGATATAATTTGAATCAGAGGAATCTGGACAGTTCATTTTGAGAGAAAATGGGCCATTTAAAGATTATAGATATTCATGACATACTGTATTTTTTGGAGTATAAGATGTACCTTTTCCCCCCTAAAAGAGCATGGAAATGTTGGTGCATCTTATACACCGAATACAGCCAATTTTGGTCTCCTGAAGCCCCTCTCCTGCATCCCATTTTTGTGAAAAGGGCAAAAAATGGGCTGTTTTTTGCAAAAATGGAGGCATTTTTGCCCCCGCCCCCCCAAAGCACTCTGCAGGCTTCAGCAGGGTTGGGGGAAGGGAAAAATGTCTCCATTTTTAAGAATAATGGCCCGTTTTCTGCCTTTTTCTTTTTGCAAAAACAGGGGCATTTTTGCCTTCCCCCAGCCCTGCTGAAGCCTGCTGAGTGCTCCTGGGGGCCGGGGAGGATAAAAACTTTTTTTTCTTACTTACCTCTTTGAAATCTTGGTGCGTCTTATACACCGTTGCCTCTTATAGTCCGAAAAATATGGTACCTGTAAGGTTTTCCCGAATTACAAAAGCACACCCAAAAATTCCTCTTGGTAGAAAAACTGTCTTCCATAAAGCCTAGAATTCTGAATCTTAGCAAAGTAGCTTTCCAGAGGTGGACCTATTTTGAACTATTTACTTTTAACTGTTTACCTTCAGCAGTGATGTTTCATGTTTAATTATCTAAAAATGTAAACCAGTTCTTAAATAACTTCAGTCCAAACACTAAAAGTAATATTTCTATTTTAAAAGGTAGCAGAAGATTGTTCTACCCACTAAAATGCCTTAGAATCGCTATCACAGATGATAAACTCAGGCAGAAGTATATAGTAGATACAGCAGCTAAACTACTTGATGTTTTTCACAGCCTGTTTGTTTCTGATCAAAATTATATTAAATTAAATCAGCCGCTGTACATTCTTTTTCCTATTAAGCAATTTTATTGCTGCATTTCTTTTCCCAGGCAAGTAATATCTGCTAAAATATTTTCTCTCTTATTGTCATATTTTAACGCTTTGTATTCTGTGCAAAATGACCAACAAAAAAAAAGTGTTTAACAGAGATTCTCTGTGAGGCAGTTACAGTAAACATTTTAATCTGGGGTGGCACATGACTTGCTTGCCTTCAGATGTTGCTTCATCACTGGAGGTTTTGAAGAGGAGATCGGACAGCCATTTGTCCAGAATGATATAAGGTCTTCTGTTTGAACAGGGGGGTTGGACTAGAAGACCTCCAAGGGACTTTCTAGCTCTGGTATTATGTAACCTGTATGAATGTCGAGCCGTGGCAGTGCAGTGGTTAGAATACAGTATTGCAGACTAACTCTGCCAACTGGCTCAAGGTTGACTCAGTCTTTCATCCTTCCGAGGTGGGTAAAATGAGGACTCAGATTGCTGGGGCAATAGGCTGACTCTGTAAACCACTTAGAGAGGGCTGAGTAGGGAGGGAGGGAGGAGAAAGGGGCAATACCACTTCACAGTGCTTTACAGCCCTCTCTAAGTGGTTTTTAGAGTCAGCCTCTTGCCCCCAAGAATTTGGGTCCTCATTTTACCCACCTCAGAAGGAGAGAAGGCTGAGTCAATCTTCAGCCTGGTGGGATTTGAATTGGCAAATTGCAGGCAGCCGGCAGGCAGCTGAAGTAGCCTGCAGTACTGCCCTCTAACCACTGCGCCACCTTCTGCATTCCATTCCAAAAATGACCTTCCAAAAATGGTGCTATGATGAAGATCCAAGTCTCTTGCAGGTTTCAAAACCCTGAAGAGCTTCAGTCGTGGATTTATATGGCCTAGGGGAGACTGTGTAATTACTCAGGGGGCTGCGCCGATGAACGAAGGGAATTGTACAGTAACAGCCTTTGTAAAGATTACTGTCATTTATGGTCCAACAAGCATGGCCTGTCCCCATTTACTGTGCCTGATGGTCGTAGCCTTATATTAATTTGCACAGTTCCATGTTAATTAAACCCAGCGACTTCTAAAACACACATTTAAGTGTTTGTCTTGGGTTATCGAAGAGCCAAGAGCTGTATTGCCACCCTGGGAGAACTGCAAATCCAATCAGGGTCCAATGAGCCTGTTGGTACATAAGGCGCAATTTAGGCCAACATAAAGAGGTATTTAAAGAGATGACTATCAGTTTTCAACTAGGAGTGATGCAGTGGCCTAGAGGGAGGAGCTCTCGCCTCACAATCAGTAGGCTGTGAGTTCGATCCAAGGTAGAGGCAGATATTTCTCTCTCTGGGCACAATGAGAATACATCTCCTGAACAAAACTTCTCATTGGCAACAGGAAGGGCATCTGGCCATTAAAACATTCTGCTGGCTCCACTCAGTTGCCCAGACTCCAGCCCACAAAAGATTATGGGGTCGTTAAAAGACGATGATGATCATCATCAGTTTTCAACTAAGGGCAGAAACTCAATCATTCCAGAAGCTTCACCTCTCCCTTGGGGAAGAAACGTGAAGGAGAACTTCCAACCTTGGTTCGTTTAAAGGTTCTTTCTCGGTGGGAAAAATAAAATAATTTCCATCAGAAACCAAGGAATGTTGCTAACACAACACACTAGGTTTCTTTATACGTTGGCCGGCTAGATACAATTGAGTCCATTTCTCTTGGACAGAGTGTCCAAACCTGTAAAAAAATAAATGCTTATCTGAACTTGGGAACTTTAAGACTTGTGGACTTCAACTCCCAGAATTCCCCAGCCAGCCGGCTGGCTGGGGAATTCTGGGAGTTGAAGTCCACAAGTCTTAAA